GGCTCCCTTCCAAGGCCTGTTGAGACATACAGTACCATTCTGCAAATTAATGGAAGATGTTTCCTCTGGGAAGATGAGTGACAAATGGCACCCTTCCTCCCAGCTACTGAAGTCCAGCCCAAGGCATGCTGCTTGGTCAGTGTAACTCTCGGCTGGATTTTATCCCTAGGTACCCCCTCTGGCATCTGGGTGAAGTGTAAAATTGCACAATTGACTGCAATAGCAGCCCTTGTTTTCCCCCTCCCTTTCTCTCTCTTTTTCTCTATCTCCTTTTTATTTCCTCTTCCTTTCCTTTCCTTTCTTTCCCTTCTTTTCCTGTCCTTTCCACAGATGATAATAAGATAAAAGAATCTAGGTCTTCAGGAAGCAACATTTTTATATTCTGTTTTTTAATTATGTTAAAATATACAAAAATATAAAATTTGCCATTTTAACCATTCTTAAGTATGAAGTCCAATGACATTAAGTACATTCCCATTACTGTGCACCCATTACCAGCATCCATCTCCAGAACTCTCCATCTCACAGAACTGAAGCTCTGAACCCACTCAACACTTGAAATTCTCTTTTTCCTCCTAGCTTTTGGCAACTACCAGAGACTACCTTCTGTTCTCTATGAATTTGACTATTCTAGGTACCTCATGTAAATGGACTCATACAATATTTGTGTTTTTGTGACTGGCTTATTTTACTTAGCATGGTATCTTCAAGGTTCATTGATTTTGTATCATGTATCAGAATTTCCTTTTTAAGGCTGAATAATATTCCATTGAATGGAATATACACCACCTTGTTTATCCATTCTTCTGTCACTGGACACTTGTGTTGCTTCCACCTTTTGGGTGGCTGTTGTGAGCAGGAGTGTACAAATACCTGTTCAAGTCCCAGCTTTCAATTGTTTTGAATATATATCCACAAGAGGAATTGCTGGATCATATGGCCCTTTCATATTCTTAAACTGCTTTTCATTAACTGAACTTTCTTGAAAATTCTAGCACTTAGCTTTGTCATTTTTTCTTGCAACAGAGGCATAGTACACATATAACTCATGTACTGAGTACTCTGGTTCTAGATCTCTTTTCTTCACCTTCAACTATGCTCTGCACACATTCTTGGCTGTTAATAATATCTTAGGAGATTCCATAAGTTCCCAGTCACTTTCAGTTGCTAAAGACTAGTACAGCCCAATAAACATGCTAGGCTTCCCCTTTCTCCACCCCCTAGTTTAGGCTTGACTGAGGTCCCAGAGGGAGGTGAAGGGTAAGCTCTGCTCCTCCGTGCACCTCTTTTTCTAACCTCTGGTTCTAGCTCCCCATGGGTAGGAGGAGGGAAAGAGGTAAATGCCTACTTCTTGGCCTTTATTCCCCTTTTCTAGGCATTCCCATAAAGAGCCCTTTCCTTGGCTGCAACCTACAGTCTCTATATTTAGCCTCCCCTGTAATTGATTAGGTCACTACTGAGACCCTGTTGTTGAAACTTCATAAGATTCCTTGGCTGTGTCCTTTGCCCCTAACTGATTGGCTCAAAGCCATGTTACCAATATCCTTCTGTATCTGCTGGTATGTGCATATCCTCTCAGGTTCATCCCTGAGTCATTTTGCTGAATTCCTCTGCTGTCATATGACTTTGGTAACGCATATACTGACAGATTCTTGGGGCTGGAACTTTTGTGGATACATTATGCTTGGATTTTAATTGCTTATGTTTTAGAGTTTAAACTTACTTCCAGTTGTTGAAGCACATCTCAATTCCATAGTGCTAAGCACTAAGGTGAACTTTGGCAGAGATTTTGACTTTGCCATAGCCTGACCTACTTCTATTAGGTAAACACTTGGTACACTTCTTTGTTTTACTTTTTCATAAAATAACTCTTATAAAAAATAAGGGTCAAAAAAATTTTTTTAGTTTCCATTAAAAATTTAAAAATTTAAAAGCTATAAAAAGAAAATATCACTTGAAATCACATTATCCATGAATAAATACTATTGCCACTTTAATGTACATATAAATGTTTTATATATATATATATATATATATATACACATTTGTATACTTGAGACTGCATAATATACAGAGTTTTGTATCCTGAATTTTTTCACTTAGTATGAATAGTTTTCCATGCATTAAAAAACATCTCTAATGGGCATATTACATTTTATTTATTTATCACAATTTAATAATTTTCCAGATTTGGGACTTTTATTATAATGTTTTCAGTACTTACTATGTGCTAGTCACTCATTAATGTTTCACATATGTTAACTCACTTAATTCTCATAACACCCTTTTGAGATCCCCATTTTAGAGGTGAAAAAACTGAGGCACGGAGAGGTTATTAACCCACCATTAGGTTGTAATTGGAACTCATTCTGGGTCCAGAACTTGTATTCCTAACCACTATCCTATTATTGTCCTACTTGCTGTGTGATAAATATTTTTATGGGAAGAAAAGTCTTAATCTGCATTTGTGATCATTTCTACTGGAAGGATTCCTAGATGTGGAATAACTAAGACAAGAGTTTGAAGGCTTTCAAACTCCTGAAGAATGCTGCCGAGTTACCCTGTAGAAGATTCATCCTAATTCACATTTATACCAATAGTAGGAAGAGCTTTGCTCCACAGTGACTTCCACCAGTGTTGTTTAATTCCTCTTTAATAGCCTTGAATTTGGGATCTCTATGAATGCTTAAAATAGTTGAAGGATCCAGGGGACCCCTAAAAACAAAGGAAATAGTTTTATACAAATGTGGAGTTGTTTATATACATGCCTTAGATACTATTAGGTCCTTGTTTTATTGATCTATACATAAATGACATTCCTTATGTCATCATTACTACATGTGTGAGTATATACTAGGGCCATTTGTACCAAGATTTGAGGGTCATTATACCTGTTGAGAGTGCCTTTCAAAATGCAGCCTTATTTTGACAACTGCTGTCATGGGTGATATTTATGGTATTTTCACAAGCTTTTAGGCAGTTGGAGGTCCTTTTACATTAATAATCTTATACTACTCTTTGGCTTTAAAAAATAGCACAGAAAAAGTGTATCCTGCTCACATGTATTTTACTTTGCAGTAGCTTTATACCATGTGCAGAAAGTGTTATCTGGATCTCCCGGTAATAGTAACCCTTGGTAGCCCTGGTTTTATCTCTGAAACATACATTCTCTATTACCATCCTGGATTCAAGGAACACTGAGACTAGAAGATAGAAATCCCATTTTTTTGTTAAAGAAAAATTAAAGAAAATTCCATGGAAATAGAGAAGAAAAGTTTAGCAGTTCTATTATGACAACTTCAATGGGGAATTTAAATTATTCCTTGTGATTGGATGAAAATTAATTACCTATTCTTCATTAGTTTTTTGGATTAGTATTTTATCATCACTCTTTTCTGAAAGAATCTTCATTGAATCCCATGTCTCATTATGCTTCATTAAGATTCTGTCTTTTGGTCGCAGGTACAGCTTAGTCTTTTAAATGCTGTAGATTTTAAGAAGTAAGCTCATGAGGGGCAGCAAGAGGGTGGTAACCTGCAGCAAGTAACAAACCACATTCTACTGGGTAATATCTTGAAGCCTGTGTTGCTTGTGATTCTTTTTAGTTTTTATTTTTGAGTGTGACTCTTGGTAGAAGCTTTGTCTTGAACACAATGCCTTTGTCACTAGTGAATGAAATGATTGGAGCTGTGCTGAGGAAAAAAAAAGTCAGCTGAAGGATTTAAAGCAGACCACTGCAAACCAAAGGTTGCAATTATCTGCAGCTGAAAACAAGTAGCTTTTAATGTGTCCATTTGGCCAAGGAAAGGAGAATTATAGGCCATTGCTCCTTCCTCTCTCACTCTCCTACTCTGTCCTCTTCTTCTTTATATAGTTTATCATCCATAATTTCAGGATGTATTTTGCTTCTTTAAGCTGTTTTATCTGTAGGCTTATGAGGTCATTCATGTGTGAATTCCTTTGTTAGTCATCTCACCTTTTGCCTTGATGATAGAAAATTGATCAGGCCTAAAGTACAAGTTCAATAGACAACCCCCTTGGTCCTTTGTCTAGGAGAATAGCTACCATTGAAGGCCATGAGCAGGTTGCTATTAATATGACAGCCTGCTCTATCTCCCACTGTAATTTATAATGAAATACCTAATCTCCATTATTTTGATCCAAGCAGGCGATCCCATGAAAAAGTCTTTTCATCCAGTTCCCAATGGCTGTTACATGAGAAATGGCAAACCAATAATTTTTGTCAAGTTTTTTAAGCCAACAGAAATGCTTTTCCACTGCTACAGTTTCAAAAGGCACAGATAAAGCTCATTCACTGAGATGAATGAAAAAGCCATCTGGGGTTTTTCTTTTTGACTTCCTTTCCTTTTCTCCATCCTTGTAATCAAATTTGAGCAAAATCAAATGGGGCTTTCTATGAAAGTACCTTTTGTTGATCTGAACGAGCTGGTAATTTACAAAATACCCTTCCTTTGTGAGGAAGGCTAAAGAAAAAAAGAATCAGTAGCTTTTAAAGCTGGGCCTTAGTGGGACTCTAAATGCAATGAAAGCAGTCTGTGTTGAGAGATGGAAATGCATTTCAAAGCCAGGCCTGACTCGGGGTACAAGGAAGAACAGACCTATGTGCATTTTGTAGGAAGAAATATGTGAATGGAAAAGGGAGAAAGGGAAAGAAACAAGGGGAATATCTGGATAATATGTTAAAGTAACCATAATTTTGGAGATGTGTTCATCTTACTGGAAATTGTGTACGTAACCAGTGATACCGAAGTTGGATATTTGCGCAATCAGGACGCTCAACAATTTGAGCCTTTAAAGTTTGGAGCTGCATGGGTTTGTGGAGAAAGTCGGCTCATGATGTGTGTGATGGTTTTTTTCTCCCAACTTTTTCTTTTTTTCTTTTTTGCATTGGGGTCTTGTGGGAAGTACTTCAAGAAAACCTGAAGATGACAATTTTCAAACAACTAACACTTGCTATTTTCCCTCTTTTTGCTTGCTAGATTTCCTCGTGGCAGTGATTCCTCTTCACTCGTTTGAATTCAGAAGGGTGGCACAGACAGCTTAAAAACAGTAAGTAATGCATGATATATTTCCTTTAGTTACTGATAATAGTTAATTGCAACAAAGCTGAAATTTGGTTATTGGAGGAGTTTGGAATCATGCATGTCTCAAAGGAAAATTTGTGCAGCATTTGCAGTATGTGATGAGTTACTTTTGGTTTGATTTAACTGTTTATCACAATATTGCTATTGTAATAATGAATGTGTTTTCCACTGCTGCTTTATCCTGTATATTCTGTGTTAGTTAAGTACTGTGTGGCATATAATGTATGCATTCTTAGCACAACAGTTTAAGAAACAATGCAAAAATTACAGAGAAGTGGTTGGAGATGTTTTCTTGTTTCATGTACTGCACAACCTTCCTCGCTCATTTATATTTTTGATTCTTAGTAATCATGTTTTCTAAGGCTTTTCCGATTTGTGCTTGAAATAAAATTCCTCTATAAATTACATGAACTTATTTCTTCAAAATAAATATCCAGAGAAAGGCAAGTGTTATTCTGATATTACAAACCAAACAATCTTTAAGGTGGTTTAAGCTACATTTCTTATAATTTAATCAAGCTTTATAATGAAAATAATAGAGCTTTGCTTAGAGACATGCCCCCCTTTAGGAAAGTGAGAAGTCCATTTCTAGCTTCCTAAAAATAAGGCAGATATGTGTTATCTAAAGACATTATACTTTAAATTGGAGTACATATCCCAAGTATTTTATCAAATGTGTTGACATTTCTAAGCGACTGTGGGACATGTTTTTAAATATGTAAATAACCAAGTCAGAGTGAAGCAATGTGGGGCAGAATCAGTTCTAATGTCTCTGCAATGGCTTAAACAGTACATTAGTGAGGGATCTGCCAAGGCAAGGGTGACGAGAGAACTACATTTAGGCAGCCATGAGACCTTTGTTTCAGGAGACAAGAAGCAAAACAAGATTAAATGAAACAAGGACATATGTTGCTTAACCCTTAAGGTGACCTTTAGAATTTGTTAGAGGTGCTGAAATGAGGAATGGGATCCAGATAGTTTGACAAAGTTCTCTATGAGGACCAGAACCTTTTCCCTTCTAAGTCCCTGGAAGTTTGTGTTGAAGATGAAGTCTGTTTTCTATGCTTTTGCAGCTCTAAGTCTCTTTTCCAACTCGCTGTAACGTTTATCTTTGCCTGTGGTTTTGAGCCATTTGCTGCCTCCTAATGCCTAACTTCAAAATAGCACACATGGCGGACCGCCAAGAAGCTGGCAGTGGAGTATTGGGTTGTGCTGGTGTTAAAGTTCCAAGGTTGTTGTTAACCATCATTTACAACAGTTGCTACAAAACAGATGATTAAAACCTGAGGGGTGGGAGGGAGGGAGCAGAGTAAAGTCAATTGGTGCACTTCCTGATGGATGGAAATGTGGTTTCTTCCCGTGAAATCAAGTTGGATTGTTGCGTTATCTACACGGACACGATGGTCTAGATGGTCTGTGCAATGCTGCTGTAATCACTGCCTGATTGATAGAGAAGCACAATATAAGAGCTTTTGTTTGATAGATATAATTGATTATGCTAGCTATGCAGAATTTTTTCTCATAATATTGATTTTATTCCCTTTTATATAAATGAAGCTTATTGTTAAATGAGGATTGTTGCTGCTATTAAAAAAATTTTTCACTTTAAAGGAAAAGTTTATTATTTAGGTGTGTTTTTGTTGTTTTATTGTTAATCCCAATTTTCCTGGGCAATAATGCTCTGTCTTTTCTTACTAGTTTCATGTCTAGGCAATTTTGTAAGCATTTTGCAAAATTTCTGTTTTCTTAAAATACTTTCAGTAAGAGCTAGAGGTGCATACTTTGTCTTAGTGTAGTTGTAAAGAATCGCTGTAAAGACATGTCAAGGAATAGATGATCAGGCCTGAAAATCAGTTAAGGTTCTCACTTGCTTGTTTTATCAAGGATTAACTGTTCCAAAGCTCTTGTTAGTGAAGCAATAAATGTCCTTCCAGGGTAGGGCCCTGGCCCCTGTGTTAGCTCTGCCAGTGGTAGTTATTGTCTGAAAATTGTTCTTTCAATAATCTTTAGCAGTATCAAATAAATGTGCCCATGTTTCCATGTGCTAATAAGCTATATAGAGATAGCTGACTAATCAGAGTGTGTTAAGAGGTTGCATTCTCTAGTGTTCAGGATGTAGGAAATGGTTGACCTGGTGTTAATTCCAATTTTGTATTGATGACGACTCTGGGCTGATGACTGTCACCTTTGGGCCCCATTGCCTTGCGCCAAATGGGAACATTATTTGTCACCTGCTTCTTTCTTGCCTCCTATGGGTTAGGCAGACATTTTGGCATGAATATGTGGTTGGGTCTGGTCAGCTTAGCTGGTGATATAATGACAAAGAGGGTAAGACCGAGTTTCCACAGATACTGCTTCACTGCTTATCCCAGCATCAACTTTTGATGACAAAAAGGACAAGATGGAGACTATGGGGCAGGTTTTGATCAATGCCAAGGTCATTCCACTTACTGTCAACAACTCCACAAAATTATAAGCATGGCAGCAGTATCTGTAATGGAAGGAAGTTCATAAACTTCCATCATGTTTTAAATTTAGTATGGGGAAACTGGGAGCGTAATAGACAGAAAAAACTCTATTTATGTAATACCACTTTTTACAAGGGCTTTGATACAGGTTATAATACAGCACAATAGATATAAATAATGACTGAACAAGTAAGAATAGAAAAATATAAATTAAGACAGGAAAGAAGAATAACACACATGTGAAGGCCATACATTTCAAAGGGAGCTTTGTTCTTGTTTTTTGTTTTTGAGTCACAGTATTGACTCAGGATTTTCAACAGCTACCAAAAAAAACAGCAAAAAAAAAAAATCATCAAAAGAGTAACTTCCACATAATGAGCATTTTACATATTAGCCCTAATCCTCACAACAACCTCAAAGCATGCTGTCATTACCCTCATTACAGTGGAGAAAATGCATGTCAGACAGTCTCAATGGCCGGCTTCTGGTTACATAGGCAGCATGTGACTCTGGTGTGAATCTTGGTCTCTGACCCAGTGCGGCCTCCTTGGGTAACACAGATGTCGGCTCTCCCTACAGTCTCCTGCACATGTGTAACCTCTTTCTGATTTTGTCCAAAGTCAACCCCCATTCATAGACTTTAACTCTTTATTGAGATTCTCTAATTGAATCTACTTTCACAGAAGGTAAGTGGACAATGTAGATTTTACCGAGGGAGAGGAGGGAAGGAGTTTACTTTGCGTATCCCACATCAAACCACTTGAACACCCCTATTGGATATTCTGGTCTGCAAAGTGCTTCCTTGGTTTGCCAGCACTGAAGGTTGCTCTCTGACTCTTCCATCCTGCTCCACTAAGCGTCTCTAGCTGTTTTCTTCTATTTCTGGATCTCTCTTAAATTAGTCATACCCCTCTTATGCAGGAGCAATATGGTGTTACACCAGCAACTAAAACTAAATGTCCACATCTAAGCTCAGTGCTATTCTTGGTACACCTTCAAAAACTTTCCTGGTAACAGTTCTTATCCTACTTAATAATAGTGAGGATTATGCAGCAATTTAAAAAATCCCACTACACATTTTCCAATAGGGAAAAATACACTGGTTTCTTAGCTTTTCAGATACTTAGTTCTGAAAGAATATTTTTCAGTGGCACTTCATGGAGGATGCAGTGGACAGTGTCTCCATCAATAGGCATAACAGGGAACTTCAGTATGCTTTTCCTTGTACTTGCCTCTGGCTGATGAGTCCAGGGTACCATAGCAAAACTTAGAACATGTGAATTTCTGTGGGGCTTTGAACAGAAAGTTGGATCTGTTCAGCTTAGCTGGTGATACAATGACATAGAGGGTAAGACCGAGTTTCCAAAGACGCTGCTTCACTGCTTATCCCAGCGTCAACTTTCGATGACAAAGAGGACAAGTTGGAGACTATGGGGCAGGTTTAACAGAACGTTAAGGATGGAGAAAGGTGAAGTTAAGAATGAGACAAAAAATAAAGGAGAGAGAAACAACTTATGCAGTAATATAATGCTAGAAATGAACTTGAGGCCACAGACCCTGAAAACTGGAAACCAAGTCTTCAACTTTAACATCACAAAAGTTTAGAATTGTGGTAATACATTGAATCATGTTATTGGGTAATAAGCCTTTTATCAGTTCAGCTTTTATGTACTCCTTTTAGGAAATTGAAAGAGAGAAGTGCATGAATCAACTGTAATGGCTCAACACATCCAATTTGTTTGAAGTTTGGGCATGGAGTGAAAACAGAAACATTTTATAAAACCTTTTGAAACGCCCGTTTAGGAAGCTCTCAGTGAGTCATGTGCCTGAACACCGGTGTATTTTCTGCAGGGGTTTTCTTAAGTTACTCACATCCTTGCTTTTGCTTTTTGGCTTAAACTGCTAATGCTACAAGATTCTTGGAAACTTGAACTTGATTGTCAGCCAGTGTAGCTCTCTTAGGAGAGGAAGTCCAATTTTCCAGTAATCCAAAATTGCTGTATTGTCATAGCTCTAATGAGTATGTCCTTCAAGAATGAATTGGAGGCTAAAAATGAATGCCTTGTGATGTTCACAGACTCCTTATGAAGTGGTCTGAAACCAATATGAAAGATTGTGATTTTTTCTCCCATTAAGACCATTTTAAGAACAGATTTAATAATGTGTAATTTCTTTCTTTGGAAGGGCAAGCTCTCCTAACAAATACATGCTAGATCATTGGGTGTGAAAAGACATGAGTTATAGTGACAAAAATGTGCCATGAAAAAAAATGCCCCATAGCTATTTTCAATTTCTTTTGTGAATTGAAGGAAATGCAGAGTACTTCATTTAGTGGAGTAGTTTAGTACCCTAACAGTTGTTCAAAGGTAGGAACCAGAAGACACAGGGTAACGAAGATATGAGCACAAGAAAAGTTAAGGCTTCCTCTTCAGCTACTGCTGTGCAGAAAGCTTGAATTCAGCTGTTGTTCAGACATGAATTCAGGACTCCTCTTGTC